CTCTCGGGCAATGTCCCCCCAGCCAGTTTTTACCCAGCAAAAAGTACACCCATCCAGGCCATGAGTAGCCAGTTTCTCCAATAGAATGCTGTGGGAAATGGTGTTGAAGGCTTTACTGAAGTCTAGGTAAACAACATCCACAGCCTTTCCCTTGTCCACTAAGTGGGTCACCTTGTCAACAGAAGGAGTCAGGTTAGTCAAGCAGGACCTGCCTTTCATGAACCTGTGCTGACTGGGCCTGATCACCTAGTTGTCCTGTACGTGCTGTGTGATGGCACTCAAGATGATCTGCTCCATAACCTTCCCCGGCATCAAGGACAGAATGACAGGCCTATAGTTCCCCGTATCCTCCTTCCGCCCCTTCTTGTGGATGGGCAAACATTTGCTAACCTCCACTCAACTGGGACCTCCCCAGTTAGCCAGGACTGCTGATAAATGATGGAAAGTGGCTTGGTGAGCACTTCTGCCAGCTCCCTCAGTACCCTCAGATGGATCCCATCTGGCCCCATAGACATGTGTGTGTCTAAGTGGTGTAGCAGGTTGCTAACTATTTCCCCTTGGATTATGGGGGCTTCATTCTGCTCCCTGTCCCTGTCTTCCAGCTCAGGGGGCTGTGTACCTCGAGAACAACTGGTCTTCCTATTAAAGACTGAGGCAAAGAAGGCATTAAGTATCTCAGCCTTTCCTTCATCCTTTGTCACTATGTTTTTCCCCACATCCAATAAATATTGGAGATTCTCCCTAGTCCTCCTTCTGTTGTTAATGCATTTATATAAACATTTTTTATTGTCTTTTATGGCAATAGCCAGATTAAGTTCTAGTTGGGCTTTGGCCCTTCTAATTTTCTCCCTGCCTAACCTCATGACATGTTTGTGGTCCTCCTGAGTTGCTTGCCCCTTCTTCCAAAGGTCATAAACTCTCTTTTTTTTCCTGAGTTCCAGCCAAGGCTCTCTGTTCAGCCAGGCCAGTCCTCTTCCCCACCAGCTTGTCTTTCAGTACATGGGGAAGGCCTGCACCTTTAAGATTTCCTTGAAGAATGTCCAGCCTTCCTGGACTCCTTTGCCCTACAGGACTGCCTCCCAAGGGACTCTGTCAACCAGGCCCCTAAACAGGCCAAAGTCTGCCCCCTGGAAGTCCAAGGTAGCAGTTCTGCTAACAGTTCTAGTGCTGTTATGACTCTGGAGAGAGTTAACCAAGAAGCATTTGTCAATAAATCCTTCTTCAATAAAGAGCAGATCCATGAGCATAGGAGAGAGGTGGCTGGGCTTCCCCTGTTGCCTGTCTGCATGTGCTGGGAAAGGGAGGGGAAGAGAAATACTGTGGAAGTGTGAACCAAAATACTTTTGTTTGAGGGGAAGGGTACTCAGAAGAATCTGTGCAGTGAATATGCAATGTAGCAGAGAAGTGAGAAGAAACAGTGCTGTATGCCTGGCTTCACAGAACCGTAAACTCGTAAACAAAATCACTATGTATTGTGGCTTCCCAAGAGCTTATGGAGCCCTGACTGAGTTGAATGGGAGAGTCTATGCTCCTTACAGCTCTTTCCTCTAAATACCTGTATGTTTAGGCTCATATTGTTGTGGTGGATTATATTCAGACTAGCTTCTTAAACTTCTTTGCAGTGGTAGAAAAAAGTATCTTAACCCCAAATAAGCAAGAAAAGCTGTTTTCTAAACTTAAAAAAAAATCTTACTTTAAAAAAATGTTTTTACGTCTGGGATATATCTGTTCAGTGAGGTTTTTGTTTGTTTTTTTTTTAATAAAACAGATCAAAAAAATGACTTCACATCTTACCTGTTAAAGTGAGATGGTGAATAGTAGGTTTCCAACTGCAGCAGGCTGGAGCGATCCAGTGTAACTAAGGTTACTGTGAAACAAATCATATGGGACACATCAAAGAAACTAAAATACTGCTGGAATTTCATTTTTAAAAAGAAGTAAAAATAAATAAGTTGGATGTTTATAGGATAATTATTAAAGGAATATCTGAAGGGTGGCAATTAATAGCCACAGTCTAGCAGCTTAAAAACACAACTTAAAGTATGCTTCTGTATAATTAAAGAAGAGAAACTTAAAAAAAATCAGTCAATATAAAACTGGAAGATATGTAATATCATTATATGTGGTTAATAAAGGTTTTGAGTGACACTACGGTGCAAACTTGTAAATCAGAAAGATAAATATGTGTGGTTGTTTGTTTATTTTCAAATAGAGATTGTCTGGATTAAAACGTAGTTGTGTTCTTAAAACCAAATATCTAAGATTTATGGTTGGAGTAATCTCCAGCTTTCAGAAGGGGAGATCTGGGCAGTATCTCAAGAGACCATTTAATCTTGATGCAGTAACAGAAAATCAGTTTTTTCTGGTCCCTCCCTGGCAGATGTTTAGTCTTAAAATTTTCCACTGAATGCAATTCAACAGCCTCCCTGGATGTTCAATTTGCCTGTTGAAATTTTTGACAATACATCCTGCATCTTCCGTATGTCCAGAATAAGATGGTATCTTTTACTTTTCCTAGACACCCTAAACTACTGTTTGATACCCTCTTTGTAAAAATATCTTGCATGCTGCTTTTTAGATCTAAACAAACATTCTTTTTAGCCTGGCATTGTGGACTGATTCATTCTTGCTGATTTTTATTAAAATCTTAGTTTCTGTGCTTTATAGACACCATCTAAATTATACATAGTATTCCAGCTATGACCTGTTAGGCATTCACAAAGATCTCTCCAGCAATTTTCTGTTAATACAGCTTAGAATGAAATTCTTACTTTGTCAAAAGACTTGGCTTTTGTTGATTCATTTGGTTCATAGTCTACTGCTAGAATTACTAGATGGTTTTGCTTCTATTCTGAACTACATAGTAATTTATTATATCTTTTATATTTGTTGTCTGTTTTCTCATCCTGACTATACTACTTTGTATTTCTTTTAAATTTCATCTCATTGACTTTGTACACACATCCAGTTTGGGATCACCTTGCCAGTATTGAAGCTGTCTTACCATTGCAACTCATTTCAGTGTCATCTACAGACCCTATGAAAATGTATTGTACTCCTCTAGTGTTTGTAGTAAAGGTTATTAGAATCATAGAATGGTTTAGGTTGGAAGGGACCTTGAAGATCATCTAGTTCCAACCCCCCTGCCTTAGGCAGGGACATGTCCCACTAGACCAGGTTGCTCAAAGCCCCATCCAGCCTGGCCTTAAACACGTCCAGGGATGGAGCTTCCACAGCTTCTCTGGGCAACCTGTTCCAGTGCCTCACCACTAATCTAAATCTACCTTCTTCCAGTTTGAAGCCATTCCCCCTCATCCTATCACTACATGCCCTTGTAAAAAGTCCTTCCCCGGCTCTCCTGTAGGCCCCCTTTAGGTACTGGAAGGCCGCAATAAGGCCTCCCCGCAGGCTTCTCTTTTTCCTATGTTGGGGGCTCTAGAGCTGGATGCAATATTCCAGGTGGGGTCTCACCAGAGCAGAGTAGAGGGGAAGAATCACCTCCCTTGACCTGCTGGCCACACTTCTGATGTAGCCCAGGATACGGTTGGCTTTTTGGGCTGATATCGCGCATTGCTGGCTCATGTTGAGCTTCTCATCAATCAGCACCCCCAGGTTCTTCTCCTCAGGGCTGCTCTCGATCCATTCCCTGCCCAGCCTGTATTTGTGCTTGGGATTGCCTCGACCCAGATGTAGAACCTTGCACTTGGCCTTGTTGAACTTCATGAGGTTGGCATGGGCCCACCTCTCCAGCCTGTCCAGGTCCCTCTGGGGGACTAGAACTACGGAAAAGAACTGAACTTGGGATATATTTCAATTGGACACTTAAAGCTTTTCCAGGACACCTTTCTGACTACTGTGAGGCTTTACTAAAAATAAGATTTTTCACCTGCTACTTCTCTTGTATATGTGGAATTGTTCTGATGTGTTAGTTTTCTGTCTATTGCCTGTTATGTTTTTACCTCCTGCTTATAAAGTGCTAACTTGTAAAACTATTTAAATATCCAGATTGAATCATTATTTTCATAAATAGCTTTGAAACAGTAGTAATTTTTCTTTTCTTAAAGAAAGATAGAATCTTCTTGTTGTTTTGTTTTTATTCAAACATATTGACTTGGGTTAGTTAAATCTGTATGTTTTAATATGGTGCTCTTATTTTTCTAACCAGAAAAAATGGTACATGTACATGGTTTATATAACTACTTATACTGGTAAACAAGCAGTTATTCATATTCTTAAATTTTATTATGTTACTGTGAATGATTTTTTTTCTCTCTCTCCTGTGCTCTCTTGGGGGAAGAACTCAAATAATTTTGGAAGTTATTAAATAGCAAACTTAAGTGATATTGCATTTATTATTGCATATTAAGGGGGTTATTGGTACGTATGTATTTTGCCTAATATGTGTATTTTAACTGTTAGTGAATGGAATATAGTGTTGCTGATCATTATGTTCTTCAGAGCTGTAAAACTTATAGATGTTGTTTTGAACCTATTTTTATCCATCAATATGCGAAAGAAGAAAACCAATTTTTCTGCTTTTTCACTTTCTAATTGATTTCTCAATTTCACATGGCCTAATTGTTTAACTGCAGTATTCTGAATAAATTGACTTGAAGCAGTAAAATTGACTGCCATCAGAGAGCAATTTAACACTGTAGTATACTTGGTTTTGGGGAGGAAGCGAAGGACCTGGCCAGGTTAGTGGATTATCTTCCTTAAAAAATTAGGTATTAAGTATGTTATTAATACTATAGTTTTAGGAAATTAAGGTTAATTTAGGTTCTAGATAACTTAAGACTTAACGTAGCTTTGTAATTAAAATCCTAAATAGTTTTTTTAACAACTAGGTGTTTTTTAAACTTGCATATTCTTAGAGAAGATTCCTCACCCCTTAAAATTTTTCTTGGTTCTGATAACAGGTAGATTTTTCCAGTTTTTATTGTTAGATATTTATGGTATATGAATTAAGTAAAAATACTGACCGTTTTATTCTATCCTAGGTGATTTGCAAGTCAGATGCTCCTACAGGGGATGTTCTGCTTGATGAAGCTCTGAAACATATAAAAGATACCCAACCTCCTGAAACAGTACAAAATTGGATTGAACTGCTTAGTGGTAAGCCTTGAACATAATGTATTTCCTTTTTTTTTCTCCCAATAAAGCTAATTATCTAGCATCACTTGAGATTATAATGTAAGATTTTTAGGGAGATAGTATGCAAAAAAGTTAATTAGTCTGTCCTCTTGTTGATTGTAGCCTTTAATCAAATATAAGCAACTGTTGCTTTTGATTTAACTTGGTACAGAGAGGATCTAGATGGAAGTGCCAGAAAACATCTTTATTATGTGGAAGAGGTGTCTTCCACTGACTCTGAAGTAAATCAGGACTGCACCCTGGAGATATAACTGCCTTTCTCTGTAATTGGAAATTAGGGTTAGTGGAAGTTTGGAGTATAGCCATATGGATTCAGTATTCACATCTTTTGATAAAGAAAGGAGATAAGGAGCTCACTGTTCAGATGTAAAAATTGAGGGTGATTTCTCCATTAATCATAAAGAAACAAAAGTCAGGATTTCTTTCTATTTTTCCATTAACTGGAGAAATGTAACAAATATTTTCAAATATTAGATACTTCTAGGTGTTCAAAACAAAGTCTTCAAGATGAGTACTTTGCACACAGCTCTTCCTGTAAAGCTAATAAATTGTTGCCAAAAAAAAGAAAATTTAATTAGATTTCATCTTTACGATTTCAGTTAACATTTTTTATGTACCTCGTCAATGTTTGTATTCTCAGGCTGCATAAATTAAACTGAAATTAACAATCTTTTAACATGTAGTGCTTTTATTGTGTTTTTTTGTTTGTTTTTTTTTTTTAATTTTTTTCTGTAGCCAAAATTCATCAGGTTTGTCTGTTTTTACAAAACACATAAAATGTAGTTTCCCTGGAATAGATCAGAGCTGTACTTAGTTGTGCAAACAGTACAGGAAAAAAAACCACTGTTTTGTCAACAATATGACTTTGGGAGGTGTGGGGGTTAACGAGACTTAAAGTTGTCTATCTAAATCTATTATTTGTTACTTGTAACAACAGATAAGAGCAAAATCTCTCCAGCTTTCTCTGCCTTCTTGTTTTTGTTATGTTCTTTCCATATGTTCTTCCCTGTACCACCTGAAGCTGCCTTCCTTGCATGCTCACATACAGTTCATACTCGGTGCCCTTGCCATCCCTCCCTTCTTGCTCCTTGACTGTCAAGCAGAGGGGGAGAGGAGAACAAAGCAGCCCTTGTCAGTAGGGGGCATGGCTGCTGTGTAGCCTTGCAGTTTAGTTCTTGCTCAGCTCTCCTTCACTTTTACAGCCTGCAAAACCAATTAATTTTTCTTGTCCCAAATACATAATTTGCGCTGACATTTCACCTTCTTTCACAGTGCGGAGCACATCAAGTTAGTACTGATTCAACAAAGGTCAACTAATGAATGAACACTGTTGTAGGTTTTCCTTGAGCTAGACTAAGGTTTTCCTGACCCTGCTAAGCTTGGCTCTGGGAAGACAGTTATCATCAGTGCTGTGGCTGAGACTTAGATCAATCATTTTAACTTACACATGGGTATTTAATTACTAGTTCTTGGATGGCATTAGGACTCTCTGTGTTTCCCATGGTTTAGAGAACTGTCCTTTGAAGAAAAATATTTTGGTGTTTTGGTTTGGGTTTTTGATAAACTCTTTTAGAATTTTGTTTTAGGGCCTGATCCTGGAAAATAGCTACTCTATCCATAATTATCAGTGATGCAAAGAATGCTGCTTGAAGTTAGTGTTCAAAGCCATCATGGAAATATTTATATGGACATTTAAGGCGATGTTTGTCAGGCTGAACTTTTTTAAAAGATAGCCTCTAAGGGAAGCAAGTATAGGGAATACAGAAGTTTGGATCAAAATGTCAGGTCCTCCTGTAGATGTAACAAACATCTGTCTGTGTTTGAACAAGTGGCTGTGTAATTGAGGAGATTGGTCACAAGGTGTCACCACAGTACTGATTTTTATTACCATATAGCCACATCTACCTAACAAATTTGGAAACATCTAGAAAATGACCTTTGCCCTGTGAAACGCTGTAAGGAGACGACTTTTTTTTTTTTTGGTGTGTGATAGCTTCATTCATGGACAAGCTGGGAAATCACATTCAATGAGAATGTGATTTCTACAGGGACTTGTGGAGTTCAGGTCTGGGTGGGTTCTCTACCTTTCACTATGCAGTTGGTGTCACCTCATTTGTTTACTTGTCTGTTACTTGGATACCTTCCATCACAATGGGAGAAACCTTAAAGTAATCTGTGTATTATTATTATTTGTTAACAAATTTTTTTTTTTAAAGCTTTCTGATATAGAAATTCTCACATCATTTATGGGAAAAAGCCCATCTATGTAAGAAATACTTTATGCTGTTTCTTCCCTCACATCTTAAAATACATAGACTTTTATATCAGGAGGGGATTTTAATATTTAGAATAAATACTTAGGTAGGCTGGACCTAAAGTTTTAGCTTGTTAAGTAAACTCTTAAGCAAAGATGGATTTCTCAGTGCTTAGCAACTTTAGCATTTTCAGTAGCTGTTGATGCTGATTGTGATAAATGACTTAGTCCCAAATCGGGTTGCATTGAGGTTTACAATTTATTAAATGAATAAATGCAAGCAAACAGCGCTGGGTGCTCTACCAAGAGGCACACCGTACAGTTCCTGTTTCTGGTTTATATCCTTTCTGCTAATGCACATTCTTTAAAAGGTGGGTCTATGCAAATAAATTCCAGGAGTAGGCTTATCTCTTTCTGCTCATGCCCTCGGGGTCTTCTTGGCTCCCATCTGGTGGTCTTCCTGGCTGTCTTCAGGATTACCCCAGATTCCACGTATGCGCATGGCTCACCCTTAGGATGTCTCCAGATTCCATGTATGCGCATGGCCTTCCTCGGCTCACCCTTAGGATGACTCCAGATTTTTATGGCTTGACACCATACAGTTAACAGCAAAACCAGTCCAAACTAACACACAAGTATGTCTTTTACAAAAAGCTAAAACTATATACATTAACCACTCCATTTCTCTTAGGCCTGCGGTTATACAAGGGTATATAAGACAGAAAGTCACATTTCACCATGCGGCCCTAGCATTAGTCCATATTGACACGAATCAGGTGAACACATTTCACAATCCCCCATCTTCTTTTTTTTATGGTATTGATTCGTGTTTTTTTTTTCTTTCTAATCGAGACAACACCTGCCGAATTGGTATCAATTTGGGATCTTCTTTTGCTTTTATTATCATAAGGGAATGAATTTTCTCTTTCCCTGGTTCAGGATCAACAGGTATTGCAGATATCCGCATCCCTTGTATAACCGAGTGTATTAG